CTCCATGCGTGCACGGATGACTGGTGGTGAAACATGGTGCACATAGATCCACAGCCCTTGGGGGAGGACAGTAGGACCAGGAAGTGTCAGAGCCCAAGCTGAATGATACTGTGATAGACAGGAGTCTCACTTACCCTTCAGATTGGACAAGCTCCTGAAGGCAATCAGAAAGGGGGCCTGAGTACTACAGTTCTAAAAAGGCTGGCATGACACAGTACTGTGGGCAGGGGACTAGGGGACTCCTGTCTCTGACCCTTGTGTACTTTTGCAGTCGTCACTGGACACCTGGATCCCCCAGAGAAACTGCCACGAGTGATGCTTAGACAGGAGGGCCTTAGTGGGGCCCAGTGTACTTGCACAACCACAGACACCAGTCAAGCACTCACATCTAGCTCCAAGTTACACTCCTGGATTGCTGGGTGGGGGTCACTTAGGGGCACCTTCAGCTAGTCTCTTGCATGGCCAGCACCTTTAGCTTCTGCAAGCAAGGACTAATCCTGGAAAAGTAAGGTTTCTGTGATAATCCTGAAACATTTCTGTATAGGTGATTAGGAATTAGGGCCCATGACGTGACATCATGGCTCTCCTTCCACCCTGGAGAGGACAAACCCAAGAAGGGCTGCCTGGGAAAGCTTTGTGAAAGTTCCAGGGACTCTAAGGAGTGGGGAGGAGAGTGTGCATGCTCCTGCAGAGCTCAGGGAGCTTTCACAAGGCTCTCTCAGTACCCTTTGGGTACTTCCGAGGTTCTGCATAAATCCATATTTCCACATGTGAGGGTATTAAAAATAGGGAGCAGAGGTGTTTGGGGCACTTTTGGCCCTTCCTAGTTGAGTTCCCAGTTTATGCATGCACAACTGAAAGCTCCAAGACAAGCATACAGGCTTTAGAGGGGTTGGGGCCTGGTGGGGTGTGTGTGTGTGAGAGAACAATGGAACAGCATTGCTCTCCAGGCTCACACACAACAGACATGTAGAATACTTTCCTGAAGTGAGGAATACCTGACACCACCCTGGAGGCGAAAGAGGGTCTCAGGGATTGTGTTGAGCTATGTATGTCCCTGTAGGTGAATGACTAGGTATTGGGACCCAGGATAGTCCCTGAGGTGGAGGTGTGGAGCCTGAATTCCACAGTGGAGTGGAGGAGGCCAGCAAGGGCAGTGTGGGAAAGCTTTGATACAATGCAGGGTGTGAGCAGAGCGGGCAGGACAGCATGTGTGCTCGCAGGACTAGGGATCAACTACAGGGCCCTTGCTGAAGACCTTGGGCACAGAACACATTCATCCAGGTCCACACTTCCACAGTTGGACTTACTTAATACGGGTATGTAGGTGTTTCAGGTCCTTCCAGGCCTGAAGAGCACAATTTCCCATTTACACATGCTTGATTGCAGGTGGGCCTAACCAAGAAAAAGTAGCGGATAGGCGCTCGTATCATGTGTCCTTGCTTTTTCACAGAGGCCGAATCTTTTCCAAAGGGAGGCACAATTAAGCCGTGACTACCCTCCCACGGGGAAGCAGGGGTTCTGGGCAGCAGTGGGGAAGTGTGTTCCTCTAGGTGAGTGAAGAGGTATTATGACCCAGGGTGGATTCCTGAGGTGATGTTTAGGGCCTGAAGTCCACATGGAGTGACCTAGGCCCCAGAAGGACAGTCTAGGAATATTTTGTGTGGGACACAGGGTGTGAGAGGAGTGGACCAGGCAGCGCATGTTGCCTGGGGATGTAGTTGGGGCCTTCCTCATGGTCCTTTCTGAGGTCTTAGGGTACTACACATGTTCTCTCAAGCCACACGTCCACAGGTGAGCCTATTTAAAACGGGGTGTGGGTTTATCAGGTCCCTTGCAAGCCTAACACAGCAGTTTCCTTTTGACGCATGCGCGACCCCAAGCCTCAAGTCACACCTGCACAATTTCCAGCTGGACCGCAGAAAAGAAGGATTGGCCAGTCTCGCGCGCACACACACACACGTTTTTTCACCCTGTTGTAACACTTACGGAAGTGACTTTTCATAGCTGTGACTACCTTTGAAGGTAAGAAGGGTTGGGGGGGATTGCACTGAGGAGGCCTGTTTCCACAGCTGACTGACTTAGTATCGGGACCCCAGGGTAGGACCCTTCTGGAAATGACTTCACATTAGCTGTGCCCACCCTCGAAAGTGAGAGGGATTTGGGGGGGATGCGGATGCTATGGGTTATATCTCTGTAGCTGAGTGACTTAGTATTAGCTGTACCCACCCTCCAGGGTGAGAGCGCTTTTCTTTTTGGGGTGTGGGGATGCTGTGGGTTATACCTCTGCAGCTGAGTGACTTAGTATCAGGACCCTTCAGGAAGTGATGTCTTGCTAGCTGTGCCCACCCTCGAGGGTGAGAGGGGATTTGTGGGAATGCA